CGAGCAGAACTGCGTGGCTACTATGGTCTATTAGTCTATAAGTTGTCGTCTACTACTGCTGCTACTACTACTACTACTCCTACTATTACTAGTACTACTACTACTACTACGACTACTACTACTACTACTACTACTACCGCTACTACTACTGCTACTACTACTACTACTACTACTATTACTACTACTACTACGATGACGGGTGTCAGCCAGCAGAATCACTGCGAGACTAGCACATCCAGGCAGCCGGTAATGGCTGGAGGCCTCCCGAGGCCACCTCGGAACATCAAGAGGCCTCGGACTCCCAGACTTAAGCATTCCAGGCAATAACGGGGGGCGCGGCTTTTGCCGCCGTTAGTGGCTGGAATGCTAAGTCTGGGAGTCCGAGGTGTCCCGAGGTGTTCCGAGGTGTTCCGACACGTTCCGAGGCCTCGGAACGCCTCGGAACACCTCGGAACACCTCGGAACACCTCGGGAGGCCTCGGACTCCCAGACTTAAGCATTCCAGCCACTAACGGCGTCAAAAGCCGCGCCCAAGCCGTTATTGCCTGGAATGCTTAAGTCTGGCAGTCAGAGGCGTCGCGAAATGTTCCGAGATGGCCTCGGGAGGCCTCCAGCCACTACTGGCTGCCTGGATGTGCTAGTCTCGCAGTGATTCTGCCTGCTGACACCCGTCGTTGTCGTCGTCGTTGTCGTCGTCGTTGTCGTCGTCGTCGTCATAGTAGTAGTAGCAGTAGTAGTAGGAGTAGTAGTAGTAGTAGTAGTAGTAAACGACAACTTATAGACTAATAGATCCTAGTAGCCACGCAGTTCTGCTCGCAGGTTGTGAGAAAAATGCACCTGGAAGGCTCCGCATGAGGCCCCAAAAGTCAACCTGAACGGGAAAAGGCTACTAAAAATCTACCTCAACCCTCTGCCTGGCCTACAACCGTTAAGCAACCGTTAAGCCCTGGAATGCTTAAGACTGCTTCAGCATCCCCAAATAGATGGATTTTGGCTGGATAGATGCTTCTAAGGGACTGTAGACCCCAAAAAGCAGTCTTAAGCATTCCAGGGGCTCAGCAACTTATCAGGTGGATCTACAAAATGAAAGGGCACTTTATGGCACATTGCTTCAAAAGCTCCAAAGTAGCCAGGGAGTCTGAGTCCTCGCCGGCAAGTTCGTAGCGGAGTGCGGCACAGACCCTGCAAGGCTTTCATCATGTGGTTACCATTTCCTAATCCAGCACAATAACGGGAAGGCAAGAAAACAAACACCCTAGCAATACATTGAGAAGTAGTGCTCGTAAGGCCTCAGCGCCAGGAGTGATTCCCCTCCCAAGTCGAGAAAGCTATCCTCTGGGCGGATGCCTGCATAGGAATGCTTGGATGCTTGAAGCACTGGCTGCTTGAGGATCTGCACCTCCAGGCGACAGCCCCAAGACACGCCGCCAAACCTGTCAAGTTCTCATGTTGAGGTCTCCTGCTCGGTGGAGCAGGAAGGCGGGTACCTCGAAACCTCCGGCCTCATCAACCTTTGCCTCTAACGCATCAGGCGAGCGCTTCGGTGGCCAGAACCACGCCCAGCAACCTGTGGAACGACCCCCGCCCCTGAAGTCAACATCTAAGCTAGGATGTCGAATACTTCGCACATCTGCATGTCTTCTGTAATCCCGCTTCGAGAGCTTGACATTAAGGCGAGGGCCTAGACAGTCCTGGATGCCAGTGCGCAGCCAGAGGCTCATGGCTCATGGCAAGCTGATTTACTGCATGTAATCACTGACGTAGCAAGTGTGGTGGTAGTTGTGGTGGTGCGCTAATGTCTTCTCTGCTGGAGAGACGCTAGAGATTTTGACCCCAGCGGCAAAAAATGGGAAGCAGTTGAGCGATGCAAAGCTCTGCCAAGCCAGCACACGTGTCTTCAGAGATTTCAGCGGACGCGTGCCTTTTTGTTACCTCGTGCCTCACGGGGTGTTCAGCTGTGCTCATCCTACATCGGATCTCTCTGAATCTCGACCCTCAGGCGACTCACTTTGACCTGAGCCACCCAATCAGCAAAGCTCATTAGGCCAGAAGGGCCTGGAGTCCTTCCTCACGACTGGACGCAACACCTGCTGTGTCCCCGACTGAACCATTTTTTACGGCCCAAAGGGCAGCTTGTTGCCTTCAATCATTGATTCTTCCACCTGCGAACTCTCTGTGGCAAGGTATCCAGTGAGACAACTTTGCGATCTCTAGCTGCTGTAGCTCTGCAAACTTGGGGCAAACATGAGCATAAATGGAATGGCGCGGTGGAACCACCAGGGCAACTGAACAATTCTGAACAAAGCTCGGAGCCTTGCCTTGTCCTTGGTGATCACGAGGGTCCGCACTACACCGCCCGAGCTGCCATCACGAGACATGGCAAAGCACAGGGCCTTCTGCACGAACCTCAGGCTAAAAGGCTCGAACAGCTGGCAAAGCAAGCACCACGCAACAGCTCTGTTGTTGAATGCCTTCCCCTTGCTCCCCGGCCCACTCACTTCACATGAGCTATGCACATCCAAGCACGCGGCTCTAAGCACTCAGCCTTCGACATGCCTGCAGGTGTGGCAAGCCACGTTCACAAGGGTGTCTGTCATACTCAGACCCAACCTGGTCGGTAGTGCGAGTCGATGAAGCCCTTGATGTAGCCGGAGCCCGATCCGTCGCAGGCCCAAGGCACTCGGATTCGCGAGCCACCCAGCGGGATGCTATAGACCTGGCCAAAGTAAATGCCCGCCCTGGCACCTTGTCTCCTGGATTGCAGTACAGCTAATCAGGCAGTACATGACAAGCTGGCCGCTTCCCTTCTAATGCTTTGTTACCTGCCGCTTCCTGCCTGACCGCCGCGCTTGTCATCGTAGCCGGCCACTATAAGGCCAGCGAGGAGGTTGTCCTGAACACGGTTGTGAAGATGCATGAACATCCCATATAATACCCCATCCAGTCTGGTTGAGAAGCACTTTTGTTCACCCGCTACTGCCAGCGAAGTTTGAAGGGCATCCTTGTTGTTGTAGGCGATCATCTTGAACAGATTGGCTGCAGTGTTCACGGTGGGCTGCTTCCTTGTTTCACACAAAGTAACTGGTATCTCCAGGAACCTGAACAGGCCTTCCACCTGATGATGCTGATTTTTCGAGCCCAGCGGCCCAAGCTCCACGGCGTGCTGGCCCAGGTAGTTAACGACAAATCCGGTCAGCGCCTGCCCAAAGGCTTGTAGCCGCGGGGTTGTTACTACGAAACGATTAAACTCGGAGCCTGAGTATCAGCAGCACTGCCGCACCGGCACACGAAGATCTTGTCATGCACCTGAGAAGGCTTCTTCTCCGGCTTCGTACCAGCCTACAAAGGAGCCTGAATTAAAACAGACGGTCAATGCCGATGTCTGACTCCTTGCATATGGATCATGTGCATGGAAGAGATCAAAGACTGATATGAGCTGCGACAAGACAAGCAAACAGAGCAAACAGGTACATAATCTGACATACGAGCAGGCAGAGGGCACCTTTGAGATCTTTCTTGAGGCACGATTCGCCACATACTGCCCTGCGCATCGCGTTTAGGTTCACACGGTTGTTTGCTCTGCATCACAAGCGAACAGCTTTGACTGCGTAACCAAACATCTTCATGGCTGCCTGTGGAGGTGCGCGAGTCGGCACCCATGACCACACCACCATCGAATTCAACGGCCATGATTGTCCTCGGCTGGGATATGGTGCTGCGCTGCAGGCGTCTAGCAGCAAGCAACTACCACAACATAGGAAATCCAATGGCGCGAACTCAGCGACAAGAGCAACTGACAGTCTCCCATGTGTCTTGAGTCCACATCATGCGCATCTTACAAGCCATTGCTTCCATGCAAGTCGGGTGTCGTTCCCGTGGAGACAGCTTGCTCAGGGGCCATCACATCATCGGCACGGTAAGGGCATCCTTCCTGCTAAACACGGGCTCACATATCTGCATGGGGGCTCCAATTCAAGCCATCCTCTGGGTAGTTATGGTTCGCATGATCAAAAAACTGCCACTCCTCAACGTGGCGGACCATCTGCTCTTGCGCAGACCTGCAGAGAAGAGTTGCCAACACAAACAGCTGCTGCAAGCTTCCTATGAGCATCAAAGACAAAGTTAGTCACTGACTTGATTCGTGTCAGCCTGCAATCCTCAAGCTTTCATCCCGGCCTGGGGGCAAGGAAATCCATGTCGTCTACTCCACGTCTCCAAGCACCGAATTGCTTTTTTCCAGGTGCTGTCTGAGCCAGAACGCAAAAAGGCACCGGAAGGTGAATTGCAGGCATGTCTTGCATGCGTTTTCTCATAGGCTCACGTGCAATGTCAAACCTCAGGAATCTGAGAAGGTCTCACTCACTCTTAGCTATCCTTATTGCAGAGGCAGCTCATTTTCCATACTTCTTCAAATCACCTAGATGGCCGGCTGGAAGGGTCGCACTTGAGGCGACCCTTTAATAACAGGCACTCATCACTTGACCTGGATTTGCAAAGTCCATGTCAACTTGGCTGAGAGTTTGGCAGCAGCGTTGTTCTTGAACTCACTGATGCATCTTTCTCCATCTCTTTTTGGAGCACGCTTCCCGAAATTAGGAGTTCCCTAAAGTGGGCGTTATAGTATGTGGGGGGACATGGAAAAGACCCTGTTTTGCTGCAAGCAACCTCAGAATCAAACTCTAAACGCAGAGCTCTAAAACTTAACCCCAAACTCTGCTTGCAAACCCCTTAAACCCTAGACCGCGTGGATTTGTAAACACCATAGAACTGCATCTGTGCACTGCGCTTTCCGAGGCCAAGGCATTGGCGACTGGAGGAGCCTCAGCGCCCTGCGGCAAGGGGATATAGGGGTTATATAGGGTGCATACATGTATATACAGGGTCTAGGATTTCACGAAATTGGGGGGGTACCTTTTGGGGGTCCCTACAATAAGTATTATAGTATTTTGGGGGCTTATGTTGGGGTACCATTATGGGGGTCCGAGAATAAGGATTGTAGCATTTGGGGGTCTACAAGGGGCGACCCCGCTATTTATGGAAACTACCATGTGTTGGTTTCAAGACACGGGGGCCCCTCAGGGACCCTGGGGTATGCGGGTATCTAAACAGGATGCTGGGGCTTGCTACCACTCAACCCTAAAACCCTGAACCCTAAACCCTTAACCCTTAAACCCTGAAACCCTTAACCCGAAACCCTGAAACCCTAAAACCCTAAACTCTAAACCCTGATCAGAGTCCGCGAAGCCAATCTTGCAAGGTTGTTGGCATCCTTGGCTCCTGCCCCTTCCCCTCCATTTCGTAGTTTCCCAAAAAAGGTGGACCCAATATAATATAGACCCCAAAATACTACAGTCCTTATTATAAGGACCCCAAAAAGGTATCCCTAATTTTGGGAAAAGGCCCGCCTGCTCTAGCCCTGGATGCCAGTTGTATGCAGATTGGCTTGGCCTGGCGGTACGCACGACACATTTCTTGATATGAGCCACACGCATGAATCTCGAAATGGAGAGCTCGACTCGCTCCCGACGTCATGTTCTTTTCTTTCCAGAATGCACTTTCAATGATCATGCCCACAGTGGCATGATGTTACCATGGACAGCTTCAAAGACCATCGACTGCTACCGGGCTTGGGGCACTGAAGCCCTGTCGATGCGTGAGGCTGACTAGCCAGAAAAAGCCATGGTTGCGCAATCATCTCAGTGCAGACACGGGATGACCGCTCGAAAGCTACCATTGAATCCTACAGTGAACCGTGAGACGACGTCCACTTACCATCTGATCGGCTGTAGACCCTGCAATCAGCTTGCATCACCTGCTTTTCACATCAGGTCTAACATGGTCTAAAGTGTCAACCTGGGCACACATAAGTCCCAGTGGTCGAAATCACACATTCTGCGCGGTCTTCAGTGGTCTTCCGCTTGTCGTAGACGGCCTTGGCTCTCGGCGCTCTCGCACCAGCTCGGACCTTGAATGTTCCATCCATGTAGCCTTTAATAGGACTAACAGTTGTAATGATAATCATAAGAATACTGTTTCTAATACTGGCAATAAAAGTAATAATAGCAACAATATTAGTAGCAGTAACAATAGTGATAATGGTAATACGGCACTGGCAACAAGAGGAAAAATAGTCATAAGAGTTACTTGGAGGACATCATCCATCCTGGGAACTTCCTCAGGGACCCGGCCATTTTGAAGCTGTCGCGATCTTGATCAGCTTGGCGTGATTCATGGAGGTCTATGCATATGCCTGAGAAAACCAGTCAGCTTGTGCTTTGATGGAAGCTTGGGCAGAGAGTAAAAGAATCCTGCCCATCTGTGCGCCGCACAGGGATGTCAGAACTGAACAACTCCTGGAAAGCTCATAGCAAAATTCGAAATCTGAGCATATCATAATGTGAACCACTTGCGTAAGTCTCTTGAAGGCTGATGGCAGCAAGTGCATGAGAAGGCTGCGCAGGATTCCACTGGCAGGTATCAACAGATCCTGAATGGTCTCGATAGGAACTTCATCAGCATCTACATCGAAGACGTAAAAGCGTCTTCGTGCAAGGACCTGCCCGTGTTCTTCTTGTCTTTCTTGCAGACTCACATCCCGTTGTGTCAAGAACCACAGTGCATCACTTAAGAAATAAGCAGACAAACACCGCAGGCTCATGCCACATGAAGTCACATGACATGCAGCAAATTGGAAACGCCTCTAGGCCCTCACGCTTGGGAAAACGATCAGCATTCCAGACGTGCCCACGTATTTACGGTTTCCCGAACGGAGATACTTTGACAGCACCGCGCATGGAACTGCGGCGGAAGCGACAAACCGAGGTCATATGAGACTGCTATCAAAGAGAGCTGATGCTCAAGAGGAAATCTGATATCCCTGCACAACCACCTGGGATAACAGGCGCCCTACAAACGCATGACGTGGCCAACCAACTCAAACAGAAGGTTCTTTGTGGTGCCGCTGCACGTCGTTTGCCCAGCCCTTCACAGTAAGAAGACAAGTTCCCAGCCCGCTGGCTGTGCCCTTCCAAGTACAGCCTTCAAATCTCTAAATCAACTCAAGATGTAGGGTTTATATAGGGGTTATAGGGTAGATTATTGGGTAATATAGGGATAATGGAAAAGAACATGGAAACTACTATAACATCTGAAATGCAAATTTCGACCAGGAGTGGCTTAGGCGTGCGGTATGACGGCAAGCGGCCAGTCATGAAAATGCACCAGGCACTGGGTCAGAATCTTGCCGGTGACGTATTCACCATACTTCACCTTGAAGACTGGAGCTGCGCAGAACACGGAGTTTCTCAGGGAGGTCTCCCAGAAGAGTATTTGGTTTGGCCGCGGCAAGAGTGCTCATTAATCGCTGCAAGGCCGACAGGCCTGTCAGGTCTTGCTGTTGCTTCCAATCGCAACCTGAACCTGAAGCCCATCCGTGGAATGAAAGGCCGAAGAAGGTGCCTGCAAAGGAAAAAAAACACCTCGAGACATGAGAACTCAGTTGATCCAGGATTCGGAGCCCGGCAGGAAGAGAGCCATGCTCAAGGATCATTCCCTATTGCAGATGCCTCAAAATTTGGAATCCCCCTTTGCTGTTGAACTCGGCCCTGAGGGAAATTCACGGATACCATGGGAGAATCTATGAAAACATACCGCGTAACACCTTGATGCACACGAACAAAGGCGTGAGCCCCAGGCCTTGGGACGGTTGCTGCCGGCGGCCGCAGGAACTTGGTAAGCAGACATGAGCAGGCACTGCACTGCAAGATGACATGGTTGTGGTTTCTTGGAAATTAGTGCTCCTCTTTCTTTTGAAGACCAGTGACAGTCGATCTTTGTCTTCATGAAAGCGCTACTCTACTGGAGTGGGCCAGAGATGAGCTGAAATCCAAGGCGTGGACTCTCGGGCAAGGGTTCTGCAGCCAGCTGCTGCACTTCCAGAGACCTTCATGCACCCACCGAGCCACTTCGCGCATGGAAGCTCCCACAAAACACTCAATGCCTTCGAGGCCACAAGGAATCCCCAATTCATGGTCTGCAGTCCTAAATCTGCTTAGCTTTCTGGCAGCCACGCATCAGGAGTCAACTTTCTTATCCTCCCGAACCCGTCCAGCCGAGGGCAGTACCACCATCCGGCACCGACGCCTGCCAGCACAACCATGGAAAAAAAATCGTCCTGCAGACAGAGTCTGGAAGCTGCACAGCAGCGTGGCGACGAATAAGCAACAATCCAACAGGCTGTGTGGCCAAGACAGGCAGTAAGTCTGAGACCATTGCTGTATGTGTAAATGCTTGACACGGCAAGCCCTGAAGCCTGGTGGTAGCTTCATACGCGTCGCGGATATGGTCTGCCAGGGTGACAGGACCTGGACAGTACAGCCACAAAGCTTGAAGGAGAAGTGGGGGTGTGACCACTGTGGGGGGTGTGATTAAAAGGCACTACCTTCACTGTCAAAAGGGCACTGTCAAGAATGCTTAAGCAGTCCGCACACGCCGCACAAAGAGGTGAAGCGGCTCGCCTCCTCCACCTCCGAAGATGTACCCGATGAGCCAACGCAACCTGATGCCCATGGCTCTGTCAAGCTGTCAACATAGCCAGAAGGTGCTGAGAATGTGGCTAAAAAGCAAACGGCGCCGCACTGCACCTATCTCCCAGTAGAGCACAGCAAACAAGCCCGCAGAGCTCACCTTGCTGAAGCGGTCAGATTTCACCAAGTCAAGCAGGCAGCGATTACCGAGTAATTTGTTCCATGCCTCTCTGCAGTACTGCGTGCATCGTGAGTCTGCTGCAGACATGCGGTAGGGAAATGTAGAAGCGACTCTTCCCGTCTCTTGGGACGCCTCCTCGAGGTGGACAAGGCTGGCAGAGCCAGTAAAGAGCTGCGACGAGGGATCCCAACCTCAGGCTGGGGCGAGAGATGGAGCGAGAAATATGTGGCGGAGGGGCAACCTCTGAGATCCTCTGAGTCCTGCCCTTGCTTCGTGGTTAAGGAGCTTCTCAATGTGTGAGGTTAAGGAGCTTCTCGATGGGTGAGGGGTTGGCTCTTTGGGCATGCAAAGGTTCTTTGAAAAAATCGTTCATGGACACCCAAAGAGCTATTTCCCGCCTTCTCAAGCATTTTGAGGTGCAAACTGCGCTTGCAACATCGTTTCATCGTTCATCAATTTTTCAAGAAACACGCAGCTGCACAGCCTCCTT